GCAGAGGGAGAGGGAGAAGCAAGCTCCCTGCTGAGCAGAGAGCCCAGCAGAGAGCCCGACATCATGCTGGATCTCAGGACTCTGGGATCACGACCCAACCTACAGAGCCACCCAGGCACCCTGATAAAAGAAATTTTAAAAGATATAAGTAACTATAGAGATATACTATTCTCAGGATTAGGAATATTCAATATTTTTGAGATGCTAATTCTGCCCAAATTGATTTATAGATTCAATGTAATCTCTATTAAAATTCCAGATGGATTTTACATTTTTGTAGACAATAGCAAGCTGATTATAAAATTTATATGGAAAAGCAAAAGGTATAGATAGCCCAAATAATTTTGATAAAGAAGAATAAAGTTTAAGGACTCTCATTCCTTGATTGTATGAATTACCATAAAGCTATAGTAATTAAGACAGTATGGAATTGATATAAGAACAGGCATATAGATTAATGTACAAAATGGAAAATTCAGAAATGGATCCAAACACATATGATCAATTGATTTACAAAAAACAGTACTCAGGTAATTTTATGAAGAAATGATAATTTTTTCAACAAATGGTAATGGAATAAATGGATATCCAAATGCAAACAAACAAGCTAGCAAACAAGCAGGGGGAGGGAACAGAGGGGAAGGGAGAAGGACAAGCAGACTCTGAGCTGAGCAGGGAGCCAGATGCAGGGCTTGATCCCACCACCCTGAGATCATGACCTAAGCTGAAATCAAGAGCCTGATGTTCAACTGACTGAGCCATCCAGGCGCTCCTAAAAATTAGCTTTAAATAGATCATAGACATAAGTGTAAAGCCTAAACTACAAAAGTTCCAGAGGAAAGCATAGGGAAAAATCTTTAAGACTATGAATTTAGCAAAGATCACTTATACAGGAAGAAGCATAAACCAATAAAATAATTTATGATTAAAATCTTCTCTTTGAAAGCCACTATTTTAAAAAGGAGATTTACCTCTGAAACAAATAATACACTATATGTTAAAAAAAGAAGAAGATAGTAGGAAGGGAAAAATGAAGGGGGGAAATTTGGTGGGGGGGAGGAACCATGAAAGACTATGGACTCTGAGAAACAAACTGAGGGTTCTAGAGGGGAGGGGGATGGGGGGATGGGTTAGCCGGTGATGGGTATTAAAGAGGGCACGTACTGAATGGAGCACTGGGTGTTATATGCAAACAATGAATCATGGAACACTACATCAAAAACTAATGATGTAATGTATGGTGATTAACATAACATAATAAAACTAAAAAATATATATATAAATGAGAAGATAAGTCATAGGAGTAATTATTTGCATACAAATAAAGGACTTTTAGCCAGAATATATAAAGAATTCTTTTTTTAAAAAAAGATTATTTGTGAGAGACAGAGAGAACACAAGCAGGGAGGAGGGGCAGAGGGAGAGGGAGAAGCAGACCTCCCACTGATCATGGAGCCATGTGCAGGGCTTGATCCCAGGACCCTGGGATCATGATCTGAGCCGAAGGCAGAGGCTTAACCAACTGAGCCACCCAGGTACCCCCAGAATTCTTATAATTCAATAATAATAAGAAGAAAAGGCAATAAAAATGAACAAGAGATGTGGGGCATCTGGGTGGTGCAGTTGGTTAGACATCTGAGTCTTAGTTTCATTTCAGGTCATGATCTTAGGGTCATGAGATGAGCCCTGAGTCAGGCTCCATGCTGAGCATGGAGTTTGCTTGAGACTCTCCCTCTCCCTCTGCCCCTCTCTCTGGGTGTTCTCTCTCTCTAAAATAAATAAATAAATCTTTTAAAAAAAATGAACAAGAGATTTGAACTTTTACTGAAGAAGCAATACAAATTGTAAATAAATACATGAAAATGAAAACATATTACCTGGACATTAAAAATGTAAATTAAAACTACAGTGAAACGCCACAATGACGTATGTTGGTAAAAATAGAAAAAAACAAAAAACAAACCTGATAGCACCAAATTCTTTTTTTTTAATTTATTTATTTGATAGCACAAGCCAGGGGAGCAACAGAGGGAGTGGGAGAAGCAGACTCCCCACTGAGCAGGGAGCCAGACTTGGGGCTCAATCTCAGGACCCCTGGATCACAACCTGAGTCGAAGGCAGACTCTTAACCAACTGAGCCACCCAGGTGCCTCGATAGCACCAAATTCTGACAAAGATGAAGAACAACAGATACTCTAATAAATTGCTGTTGGGAAAGACAATGGGGTAGCTGTTTTGGAAAACGGTTTGAAAATACTTATAGGTTAAACATACACACACCATACTACCCAGTATACCCCTCCTAGGTGTTTACCCAATAGAAAACATATGCTGAAACAAACATCCTAAATGTCTATCAATTGATGAATAGATAATAAATTGTGGTATTTCCATACAATGGAATATTACCTAGAAATAAAAAGGAATGTAATACCGATTCTTAAACCAATGTGGATAAATCTCAAAATACTGTGTTAAGTGAAAGAAGTCAGACACAAAAGTATGATACCATTTATATGACATTTTGGAAAAGGCAAAACCATGGGTATAGAAATCAGAGAAGTGGATGATTGAGCTGAGGGAACTTTTTGGGGAGATGGAAATAGTCTAAATCTTATTACAGTGGTGGTGCACAACTGTATACATTTGTCAAAATTCACTGAGCCATACAGCTAAAAGGTAAATTTTACTGTATATGAATTATATCTTAAAAAATCTTTAAAATTAATATACTACTTAAATTGACTTTTGTGTAATTTTTTATGAATTCCCAAACCACTTAATGCTTTCAGTGTTAGGCATTTTTAAATGAAATAAGTCACACTCATCTTTTAAAAAGCTAAACGTATGGAAGGAATTCAGAGACACAGCCAATAAAACTATAGTTTTGAAGCTTCATAAAGATATAAATTATCATCTGATTTCCACTCCCAAAGACTTTATCGTGATTCCTAAATAAGATGAACTATTAGGATTAAAGAACTAGAAGTCAAAACAATTCATCATCTGCCCTGTATTATGACTTAAGTCAAGGATATGGTTGTAGTCCTGATGTGAAAAGTTAGTAATGTCTACTCTTTGTTGAGAGAATTGCATTCTGCTTTAAGAGTTTTGAAAAATACTTCTCACAGTTTTTTTTTTCTCTTCCATATTCTACTTTTGAGGTGGAAAAGTTGTTCTCTTTCAAATACATTTTATTTCTTGATGTTCCACACTTTCTACTAAAGGCCTTAAGTTATTTTACAAACAATTCATTGTAAAGATCTCCATCTAAAATTTATCTCCTTCTTTTATATTCTGTTCCTAGTCTCATCTACAGCCTCTTCTCATGACCCATAGAGAAACAGCCTCTTCTCAACTATATTGATGAAAAATTTCCCTTCAAACTCCCTTTGATAAATTTCCTTTGTTCTTCAAAAAAACACTCCAGTCATTAAATGCCTTTCCAGTGGGCTTCAGTTTTTCCTAGTCTCCCCAATTTAATATGAACAGATGACTTAAGGTTTTTTCTCAAATCCTACTGTCAGTTTTTGTATAATTATAATGTTAGTCTTACTGAGACTCATTATCTGCATCCCAATACCACTGATTTGTTTCAACCTCTTCCAGATATTGCTGCTACTGTCTTTCCAGGTTTTACGTCCACTTCTATTGTTAAGTGACTTTAACATTCAGATTTGTGACTTATCCAATCCATTCACTCCATTGTTTGTTTGTTTTTTTATTTTTTATTTTTTTTTTTAAAGATTTTATTTATTTATTTGAGAGAGAGAATGAGAGAGAGAGAGAGCATGAGCAGGGGGGAGGGTCAGAGGGAGAAGCAGACTCCCTGCTGAGCGGGGAGCCCGATGCGGGACTCAATCCCGGGACTCCAGGATCATGACCTGAGCCAAAGGCAGTCACTTAACCAACTGAGCCACCCAGGTGCCTTCACTCCATTGTTTCTTGACCTATTTGATTGCACAGCACACACCATCCCTATGACATAACTATAATTTGCCAACATTGACACATGCTGGGTCTCGTCTTCCCATGGCATTTCTCTACTAACCGATCAAAAGGGGCACCACAATGCCCCATTTCTTTTTTTTTTTT